TGAGTAAAAGTCAGAATTCCAAGATTAAAGTCAGAATTCTGAGTAAAAGTCAGAATTCCAAGATTAAAGTCAGAATTCTGAGTAAAAGTCAGAATTCTGAGATTAAAGTCAGAATTCTGAGAAAAAAAATCAGAATATCAAGATTATAGTCAGAATTCTGAGAAAAGTCAGAATTCCAAGATTAAAGTCAGAATTCTGAGTAAAAGTCAGAATTCTGAGATTAAAGTCAGAATTCTGAGAAAAAAAATCAGAATTCCAAGATTAAAGTCAGAATTCTGAGAAAAAGTCAGAATTCCAAGATTAAAGTCAGAATTCTGAGTAAAAGTCAGAATTCTGAGATTAAAGTCAGAATTTTTAAATTAAAAACAAAATTCTGAAATTAAAAACAAAATTCTGAGAATAAAGTCAGAAATCTAAAAAAAAGTCAGAATTCCAAGATTAAAGTCAGAGTTCTGAGATTAAAAACAGAATTCTGAGAAAAAATTCAAAATTGGTAGTAAAGTCAGAATTCTGACTTTTTTCCCATATTAAACTAAAATCAGTTAACTTAAAAAAATTATTTTACTTTTTTTTAAAAGTTTTTTCACTTGCCCTAATTCTAATGTGCTTGACTAGAGGTGGAAATTTCATAAGGAAGACATGAGATAATTTTTAGTTACAATATTATGTTTCATTGGTTAATTCAAACATTTAGAAAGTGTAACTGAAACTTTCTGCTAAAGATGAAACTTGAATGTTTCCTATACAACAAATTGAACAGTGACAAATTTAAAAACTACAAATACTACAGCACCATCTGCCATCCAGCAGAGGAGAAAGTGCAGCCAGCACTGCTTTTATTTCTGTCTATCAACTCTAGTAAAAATACTGCCCACACTGAAGCTAATATGAAACTTGATCGTTGCATTTTCACGTATCTTAGTACATTTTGTAAATGTAAGCTGATGTGTTAAACAAGCAGGTGTGTCGCTCTGAAGGGCATTTATTCCAGCTATAAATGTCCAAAGGGCAAATAAGCACATCGTTATCTACAAATAACATCCCCTTTATCAGTCTTTGGCAAATAAAGACTCCAATTATCTCCAAGAACCATAAAAAAATGGCGGCATCTGTTTGACATTTGCTATGGATTTGGTACCAATCAAGTTGTCATTTATCTTAGCTGTTGTTTTCCATCCATTCCACTGACTTTATTGTCCCAAAGTAGAAAAATATACACCTAAACAATCCTATACTTTTATCAGGCATTCAAGAGTTTTGGTAAACTCTTGAATGCCTGATAAGAGACATTCAAGGCATTCATTTTCAAATATTTTTAATTAAGGGCATATAATGTACGCCTGTAAGCATTGCTAGCTAAAAGCCTGAATCCAACCGATCCAGTTTTCTTTTAATGCAGACATATATTTTGAAGATTCTTGTAGTATGAATAAATGCAAACATTATGACATCCAAAAGCCTTTTTGTGGGTCTGAACATATGATGCTCCTGCATCATGTTAGATCGTTAGAAAGCATGTTCTGATCACAAACTTAGCCAGTCGGCCACATTAAGAACAGACACTTGACTCACCTCGGCATGCTGGAAACTGATGGCATGAAACTGACAGCATGACCAATTATCCAATGATCTGATGTTTATGATTCTAAATTAGAAAGGCTTGTTTCTTCATATGGCTCCTGTGTCTGAGCGGCCATGACTGCTTGATGTTTTCATACCAGGGCCCAGCGTTGGAGGCTCTGTGGCAGCAGTGCTGCGGCGACTCTGCTCCGGTGCGTTCAGCCTGCTGTGATGCTGTGGTGCTTTTAGTAGCTCAGGGCCACGCTGAGCTGCAGTTTATTCTCAACAGCGTCCTCAATCTCCTGCCCTCTGCCAGGTAAATAACATCAACCCTCTTATTCTTTTCCAAAGATTCATTTTTTGATTTTTTTACAACACTGGATGATTTCCATTCAAAAGAAGATCTCTGTTGGCAATGTAACAGTACATCAATGAATATT